AGCAATATTGGGGTCACCAGAGGTCATCAAAGGTCAAAATTTGCGAATTGTCATATTTTTCAGAAAACATGCCCCTATCTCAGGAACTATGGTAGCTAGAAAAACGCATGGAAAAGCAATCGATAGCTTTTGAACTCTTCTTTTGAAAAGGTCATTATCAATATTGTCCTCAGGTCAACGGTTTAGCCTCCAGAGGGCACAAACTCCAAAAATAGCTGTTTTTACGAAAAGTGTTTTTCGACAATAACTTTCGACTACAAAAAGCCACGACATTTCTATTGCCAGAATCGTGTTCCCCTCACCGAGACGCGTCGAATGAACTATAATTTGACCTTGAAAGGTCAACTTAAAAATTTGACCTCAGGTCAAGGTCATGACCTGACCGGAAAAGGTAATGTTGCATATCAGTCGATGCGTCTCAACAAGACAAACACAATGAGACCATCCCCAGCGTTCTATCTCTTTCCAATCGCGAGTTATTGGCAAAAAACTGTTTGTAGCCTCAAATGACCTCGGATGACCTTTCTAGAGGCTATCAGCAAAAATGACACCTTGGTCATCACGAGTGGACTAAATCATTGTGATTCTGAAATATTTGGACTGTTCCTATGCGTACACACGGATCTAGAGGCATTTTCATTTTTCTCCATTGACTTGTAATGGAAAGGTCATGCCACTGACCTGACCTTAGGTCACGGATATAAAAAATCCGAGATATACAAATTGTAGGCTCCCATAACAGCATGCAATCCACCAAGTTTAAAACCTTTCTGACAAACACTGCAGGCTGGACATGATTGCAAACTTTTTTTAAGGCTTGGTCAGTTAACTTGGCCTGGTGACCTGACCTGACATGACCTGGGGTCAAAAATCTCACACATTGTCCAAAATTGATGTACCAAAAGCTACCCCGAGCGGCGCGGCGCTACGCGCCGCGGTTTTTTATTCACACGCGAAAAACGCGACAGGGTGGTAACATATGCCCCCCCCCCCACGGGGGCGAAGGTTAAAGATCTACAACTTTTACAAAAACATTTTCAGGTCAGGTCAATATTGAGGTCACCAGAGGTCATCAACGAAAAAATGTTTTGGAATTAGTTACCTATATAACTTTTAAACTAAGAAACATAGAGACATAAAACCAATACATTTTTTGTTGCTCTCGCCGAGGCGATGCGAAATAAGTATGTGATGACCTTCACAGGTCAATTTAAAATTTGACCTGAGGTCAAGGTCAGGTCATTCATCAATGAGGTTGTGGGGTATGGTCATGCTGCATACCAAACGACGCGCCTTGACCAGGCGAGCAGTTTGGTACCACTTAGAAGTCTTTAGCACCATCATGTCGTGATTTATTGACAGAAAAACGATTTATGACGTCACATGACCTCAGATGACCTTTGCCGGTGCCCCTGTCAATTAGCGGCACCAGGATCATCACTGATGAGATAATCTTCCATAATACTGAAAGAACTGGGTGGTTTTGACTCGTTTACACGAAGCAGGAGGCGTTTCAATATTTTCCCATAGGCTTGCAATGTAAAGGTCACGAGTCTGGCCTGACCTCAGGTCACAGATATGAAAATTCTGAGATATACAAATTGCACATACTGGTACCCTAACTAAAGCCTGAAGAGAAGAAATTGATCGGTCAAAAACTAGCTCTGGCGTGATTGCAAACTTTTCTGGGGTAGGGTCACCAAACCACCTCTGGTGACCTGACCTGAGGTCAGATCAACTCAAAATTTTCAGAAATGTTGCGTAAAAGCCTTTTAGAAAAAGTCAGAAAATTTGAGCTTCCTAGCTCAAAGCGTTTGGGAGATATAACCAAAAAACCTCAGGGGGGGCTCCTGAGGCCCTCCCCCGCCAGGAATAGGGTTAATAAATTTGATCGGCATTATGCTCCTGTCGGCTAAACGTGCAAAGTATAGGGTAGACGAAACTATGCTTTTTGAGCTCAAGTGATCAAGCTCAGGAGCTTTATCTCAGGTCAATGTCATCACTACACTTGAAAAGGACATGCTGCATATCGCCTATCTATCGGTCGATTCGTATCGTTGAGCTGAGCTCATTCGTCGCTACAGCAGGGCATATTTTAAGGCACTTACTGCGTCCCATTTTGGGACGCAGCCCCCTCGCCTTGGGACGTAGCCCCTGCTGATTTGACCCACTGCGTCCCTGCCCTGTGCCCTGTCCGGTTCCCTGACCTATGCCCTCCTGTCTACCCTGACCTGTACCCTTCCCTCTAAAATGTCCTGTGCCATGCCCTGTAACCTGCCGTGCCCTACTTTCTGCTTTCCTCAGTGCCCTACTCTGTTCCTTGCCCTGTGCCCTTAGTCGTAGCACGTGCCCCATAGGCGCGGGAGCCGGGGGGCAGTGGGGGCAACTTGCCCCCCCCCCCCAACTCTGGGGCCGTGGGGGTGGTGCCCCCACAGCTTTGAGACGGAATACCACACTTTTTTTGCAAATGTTTTCTTTTTTGTTGATAAAGCCGAGGGGTGAAAAATAAGTGGCCTAAAACCGGTGAGAAAACTAGATTTGGGGGTACCCTAGGTTGATCTCTACTATGGTGTGCCCCCCCAGTCGGAAAGTAGTTCCCGCGCCCCTGACGTGCCCTCTGCTCAACTTTGGGACGCAGTAAAAATTTGTTAAAATATGCCCTGCGCTACAGCATGTTCTTCATCAAAAATTATCGTCGAAAACTGCTGCTGACATTTTCATAGTTTAGCAAGCTGCAAAATTAACCACAAGAATCGCGGCTCTGCGGCCATTTGTTGCGAAGTTATTCACCAAGAACGGAACCGTACCTTGGGGCACTTGACCTGACCTTAGAAGTCACCGGTTGACCTATGACCTTAAAATCGGGTACCAATCTCTGCGTCTCGTAACGGCGCACACGCCCGTTTTTCCGCGATGCGCTAGCGCTCCACCAGGGGCGAAACGGCGAGGGGGTCGTACCCCCCCCCCCGGCGCGTAGGGTTGAGACCATAAGTGTAGGAACCATGGGTGCAAGGGTGCAGCTGCACCCACAATATTTCTCCAGTGGGTGCAGACAATGTATTCTGCACCCACAATAATCTGAACCAAAAACCCCTTTTCTCATCAACACTACTTCCCATGCAGCACGGCAAATTCAGGATATGTTGCCCACTATCCATCTTTCGAAGCATTTGCTTTTGTGATGGTCTTCAAAACTTACATTTGTGCTGAAGAAAAAAAGGAAATGGAGCATGTGATTGAACACATACCGAGCCGATGACCCACTGTCAAAATTTTTAGCTCGATATCTTCGAAAATGGCCAGGTTGGCCGCTTTTACTTTTTGCGATAGTCAATATTGACAATATTAACCCTCGCATGTGTGCGGCGTTTTCCAGCTTCTAATGTGTAGGGGGGGGGGGGGGGGCTGATCGAGCTATAGCTCGATAGTAGCTCCGCGAAGCTCTATAGAGCTTCGCGGAAAAAAACGAGGGCGTTGCCCGTGACGAGAGGAAGCCGATGATACCCAATTTTAAGGTCCTAGGTCATTGGTTGACCTTCCAGGTCAGGTCAATGTTCCAAAAGTCGTGAAAATCGGGACCTACTAGAACTGCGTAAAGTGAAGCTGTTATCCGTTTTTTTCGGGGTGCTGACCACGAATATCATGTAATAGTCCGAGGTCATCAAAGGTCAATGACCTGACCTGACCTTCAGGTGACCATCACACCCACCGTGATGCATGGGACGAACATTATTTCACATGTTTGGACGTCTACAATCACAAAAAGACTGGAAACGCACGGATTATAATGTGAGTTAACATACGCCAAATCGCGATTCCGGCCAAACATGGTCTCGAGAATCAGGTCACAGGTCAAAGGTCTTTTGGGTCAGGGTCATGAAATTTTCAGAGTAGGTGTAAAACTGATCAACTCGAGGGTACTTAAAGTTTCGTCGCGATCGGCCGCTTTTTGCGCGAGTTATTTGCGAAAAACTATGGGGGGCTCATCCGACCCCCTACACATGCGAATTAATTCCAAATGCACTTATCAGTCGGTACCTTTTCGACATGGTATACACCCCCCTCAAAGCTTGTAACGAGTCTTCGCTCGGGTGTCGCTCCCAACCCCCCCCCCCACCGCTTCACCGGCCATGGCTGGATGTCTGCACCCATGCACCCACAATGTTCCAGCCGTTCCTACGCCCATGGTTGAGACCTTGAAACTGGGTACCATTCGGTGTGTACTGTTAAGGGACACAGGTCCTTATTCAGTTCAGTTCAGTTCAGTTCAGTGTATTGGAACATTCCAAACAATTGGGTATTACTGTTCCACGTCAAGTACATGAAGCATATAAAACCACAACCATACACATCGAAAACCAAAACACTAAAAAACGCAGAAAGATGGTGTTTAAAACAGATATAAAACATATATAAAACAGTGAACCACGCTACATTATATCGATGTGCTGTTCGACATTCAGCGCTGCCGTAAAAGCTCTAATTGTGGCCGCCTCCCGGACAGGCGATGGTAGTGAGTTCCACGCTGAGGCTGCTCGGCGAGAGAAACTATGCCGCGATGCACTCAAATTACATCTGCACAGGTGCAGGTCACCCCTGTCGGTGGCACGCGTGCATCTCGCCGATACGCTCTCCCGTCGGGTGAACATTTTCCGGATCGCAAATATATTATGTATATGTATGTATGTATATTATGTATATGTATATTAATTCTGAGTAGAAAATTATACATGATTTCAAATAGATTATTCGCGAGTCTGTACCTAAATTAGGAGCGAAATGGTAAAAGGAGACTCCCGCCGAGCGATGGTTAGCTTTGCTTTACCAATAGGAAGTCTAAAAAACAAATCAGATGTAAAACATCTGCATTTGAAGACTCACACTTGAAAGTTACGAGAAGGATAATGCCCTCGAAGGAGCTTTTGGCTTCCATGGTTTTTGTCTCAACTGTTGTTCAGGAATCGCACAAAATGAATGATGTTTCCTCTTTTCTTTTTCAGTCGAGGGCGGACCTTGCTACCTCCCTAACCTTCAGACCGGTGTGGCAGCGAAGGACACAGCGTACGTCAGCAGTAGCACACATCAATGTGGCAAAGGGCCGGAGTCATGTCTGAAACAAGCTCTATGTACTACAACAGTAGTGCCCTCAGCTCCAGCGAGGGCCATTACTCCGAGGTATACGAAAGCGGAGTTCAGGTTCATAACTACAGCAATGTCGTTGGAAGCGGCACGTCCCCCTTCCATCTTGAGGGATCTATTGAGGCATCTCTCCAGCTCAGTCATAGCAGGAGTACTCAGGACCTCCGGTACATCAGAAGAGCGGGCGGAAAACCGAGCACGATGTCAAGGATGTCATCACCTCCTTCGTCATTTGGCAGCGAGGCCGACTCGGCCGACACTCGGCAAACCGCCGACAGCTCACCGAGAAAGTGGCATCAGAAAATATATTCGGCGACTATGTGGGTGCGGAAGAAGGTAAAAAGACCAACGATAACTTTGTCTAGTTCCGAATCAGGCATCAGAGATTCAACCAGCCAGGGACGAGCCAGCCAGAAGAGAGAGAAATTCGTGATACAGCACCAGCCACTTCGTCAACATTACGGGTCGACCCTGTCTTTATCTGCCCAACAGACTTACGACGAGCCAGTCTATGCGTCTGTGCGGCCTCGCCGGGGGATGAGGAGCGCGCTGAGCGGCTCCAGTCTATTCGACCTCTCCAGCGAGGAGAGGCCCCCGCCCGTCCCGGACCGCTCGAGCAGACCTCCGGCTCCGGGCGGGCCTCCGGCTCCGGGCGGGGACTCGGCGCTGCGGCCGCTGCCGACCGTCTGTGCCGAGTTCTCCGCCGAGAGTGAGTGCGAGTGGGAGGACTGTCCGCACCTGCACCTGTGCCCCCGGTGGCTGGTGGGCCGGTGTCCGGTGCTGCGCCGCTGTCCGCTGCCGCACTCGCTGCGCACGGCGCACAACCTGACCGTGCTGCGCGCCGCCGGCTGGCAGCAGGACGAGCGCCACCAGCTCAGACGCTGGCTCTTCTTTCAGGCCCGCTGCGAGCGGCTGGAGGCGGCCGGCCTGCCGCCACTCTGTGTCAGCCACGCGCGCGGCGCCTGCGGAGCGCAGCCGTGCGACGCACTGCACATGTGTCCAGAGTTCCTGACCGACGTGTGTGCGGCGAGGCGCTGTACGCGGGGCCACGACCTCGTCGGGGACGACAACAACCGTCTTGTCCTGGCCCAGCATGGACACGATAATATGCCGGTCAGGGATCTTTTGACCAGCATCAGGGAATCCATGACAAAGCCACCTCGCCTGCTCTGATGTGGGCAGACAGCCGTAGACTCATCCATCATTGTAGCATGCATCGTTGTAACGCATCGTTGTTTTACAAGGATTACGATGTTAGCTTCGACCGTGGAATACCACAACCCTCCAGCTACTAAATACTACGACGTAACGACCTTGATGCGAATGTCGAAAATTCGAAACGAAAATGACAAACGACTAGTAGCCGAAAAAAACGAAGCTTGAATTGAATAGAAATTTCGTACATTATCATATTCCCCGACGTTAGTCGCCGCATAGCGTGCCACCGGAAGGGCATTATCCCCTCCCATGTGTATTGTGCATATTCTGCTTTCATCAAGTACCTTGATTATTAAGTGTTATTTGCAACTGCTGCATAAAGCACCATACAATGCAATGTGAGCCGTGCCATCCATGCATTTCCAAATGAATACACAATACACATGCTAACGCTGAATAGGCCATCTGACATCGCACAGTCTACGCTTGTATGTTGCTAGTTTACTATGGTGATGCAAATAAGTGGTTGGCCTTACATTTGAGCAGTGAGCACTACATATTTAATTCGCCCTCGCATGGCCTAGTATTGCCCCAGACAAAAATAAACTTACTTCGCATTTTGTTTAGTTTTTAAATCTGCCAAGTCAGTGATCCAATAAATCCTGAGTTTGACCCTTGAAAGGTCTCCCTAACTGTATGCTACGAGTATATAGATAGAAATAGTGCTCGAATTTTAGCGTTTTCATGTAATTCCTTTTATCTTTTTTTTTTTTTTGCTGAATCAAGTCAGATGCATGGGGAGGGTGAAGCGAATACTTCACGAAACGTTTTTAATTATGTGGATATTGCTTTCATTGCATCAAATGATAAATGTGAGGTAGCATCTGTTATTGGTGCCAGGTAAGACAACTAAACTTTAGGAACTTTAGGAACTTAGGAACTTTTAGGAACTTTAGGACAACTTTAGGAACCCGAAACCGCCTGGCGCCTGGGCTATTTCCGTGCCCACGACCGCCTGGGCGGGGGAGGGGGGATCCGACCCCCTGTCATCTCGAGAACCAACGGTCGTATCGAGCCCTGTGAGGCGGCTTTTGAAAGCTCTCCTTGAGACCTTTCACCTTCCCAAAGCGTTCTTAAGAGTTCGAGATTGCGGTTTTGGCGATTTTTCGAACATTTACCTTTTGTGGCGAAAATGTCGTGTTAGTAAAAACTGAAGTCGGTATATCGAAAAGAGTTATTAACTAAACTACATTAGAATTCTACAACACACGTCGAAATGTTGTAGTAGAAGGTATGCCGAGTTTCACGTTTCGATTCATGGGTATTTCAAGAAAGAACAGGGGGACGTAGAAACGACCCCCTCCCCCACCCCAGGCAGTCACGGCCGAGGATTAAAGGAGTATGAGAAGATAAATGCGATATCAGATGCTGGAGCAGCTTGGGCTGAAAATACATTAGCTAAGTGCCCTGGCTATCGGTGAAGTAAACAAACCCCTCGACTAGTGACCGCCCCTTGCTTGAGACGGTCTGCAGATTGCTATCAGCAAACTATCAATCATTAAGAACCTGGTCCGGGGCCACACTCGGGCAGTTTTCCAAGTTAATGAGCAGGCGTCGGGAGGGCATTGCGAAGCCGCTGACGTACGGTGAAACACTCCCAGCAGGTAAGCACTATTAGTCAAAAGCTCTTTTATGGGACAATCTATCTGTCCGACAAGCTGGAAAGCGGTTTTCACTTCTTTGTGTGGGATTCCAGCCATCTCTCATAGTGGGGAGGAGCGAAAAAAGAAAATACCAATTATCACGAAAACTTAGAGAGATTTAAAGACACGGAGTAACCAGTCCCTAATGCTTAAAAGAATAATTCTCGAAATGTGCTTGGTGAAGTGTTTCAGAGTTTTCAGTTAGGTCGCATTGAGGCCACTGAATGCCAACAAAGGTCAACTTTTGCGCTTTCCCCGCAACTGCTGGCAGCATTCAACGCTTGAATGGGAATTAATCCGCGCCCTGCTGGTGGAAAGACGCTTTTTACACGCCATTTCCCAATTTTTTTTTCGCAAATGTCTCAAAAACGCATATATCAAATATTTCTCTTTTTTTTTGCAAGAAAAAAAAAACATATATGCTACATTCATATCAGGATCCCCCAAATCCTATAAACAGTAACACCTTGATCAAATATCTTTCAATAAACATCCTTTCATAAATTCCAGCGGCACCCAATCGTTGCAGCCTTTGGGCTACTGACCTGACCTGGAGGGTCAACCAACGACCTAGTACCTTCAAATTGGATAGCATCGGCTTTCGCTGTTCACGAGCAATGCCCTCTTTTTCCGCGAAGCTCTAGCCTTATAAAAGGCCGAGCGGCTGGGAGGGGGCCTATCGCCCCCCCCCCCATACGTCAGACGCTAAAGAAAGGCCGATACGGGCTATGGGTTAAATGCAATTAATGCGTAGAAAATAGATTCAAACATTTTTTTGCTCAATATTAATAAATCTTATCCATGCGTAACGGATCCTGACCCTCCATTCCCAGGTGCGTTTTGCAGGCAGGTCGGATTCAAGGCACCCGGCTGAAGGCATGGGCGTTCTTCATCAGACCGCTGCTACAATGATGACGAGAGGTACGTTACTGCAGCGTTCCGCGTAAGTCTGAGTCCACTGGAAGATTCAACAGCTCACCCGTCTTGAGCTCACCATATGAGGCCCTCCGATTCACGCAATCTCCGTTCGATCCACGCTCACTGGAACAAGGGGAGTGACTGAAAACTTCTGTACCATGGAAGCAGACTGGACCGCTCTTCGTAGGCCGCAGCGGGCGAAGGAAGGGCCGATGATAAAGGAGCTCAAGGAATTACTAAGGTTTAGATCGGGTATGGCTGCGGAAGAACAACCGCCACTTCGACATTCTGCTGAAAACATCGGTAGGTCTCAGACAAGGAGTGCTGATCCGCCGAGCCAAAGCCCAGGGACGAGAAACTATAAGAAGGTAAGCCATGAAAACACTGATAGTGATTGCAAGGTTCATGTCTCCAGCCACGAAGGAGGTGCAAATACCAGTGTGACTATTATCTTTGGTCAACCAGAAAATCAGCCGAGGGTAGAAGCCAAGAGTACGGCCAAACCACCCTCTTCCACTGGAGGGCACCCTGTCAAGATTCCAAGCGAAACCCAGCCAAGAGCTTGTGAAAGATGTTCATGCGGCGCAGCTGACATCGACAAGCCGGCTGGGGAGGAGTCTCATCATCCTCAAACCACTGGTATCCCTCGCATGTCGCCCTCATCGACAGCTGCTTCCCCAGGTGAAGGTGGAGCAGCGCAACAGCCGACGGAGCCCCAGAGCAGATACACTTCATCATCGGTAGGAGGCGACAATCATGAGGCACCGAACGCCCATGCCGAGCCTTCTGTTCCAGGGTCGGAGAACCGAAAAATGAAGGCAACCTCCCTGCAAGAAAATGGGGATCAAGACGAGAGTCATTTGGCCACGTCATCCGTTTCTCATCCACCACCAGGTGAAGCACCACCCTCTGATGGGGGGCAGCAGAGGCTGCCTAGTGTTTGTCATGCGTTCACCAAATCTTCCTGCAGACGCGCTATCTGCTGGGACCTTCACGTGTGCGCCGCCTGGCTGACTGGACGGTGCAAAAACATGCGCCCCTGTCGACATCCCCACTCGCTGTCCACGGCGCATAATCTGGGAGTACTCCACGCTGCCGGCTGGCAGGGAAACCAATGTGACCTGGTGCGCCGCTGGCTCATCTTCGAGGCCCGCTGCCAGCAGGTAGAGGCCGACGGCCTGCCGCCGCTCTGCGTAGATCACGCGCGCGGCGTCTGCCCAAAGAAACCGTGCGACGCGCTGCACATCTGCCCTCGCTTCCTGTCTGGTGCCTGCCAAAGGCAGAGCTGCCCGCTGGGCCATGAACTTTTGGATGCACACAACAGGCGGGTGGTGAAGGATGCGGGCCATGAAGATGTGGCTCACAAGAAGTTGCAGAAGCAGATCGCCAAATACCTGCCGTGACAGAACCAACCCAGCGGCTTACGTTCCTCTGCCCAACGCGCCAGCCGGGGTGGTATTACCGAACCAAGTGCCAAAGAGCGGTACTATACCACCAATAGAAAATTAATTTAATCAAGGCTGACATTGTTTTTCACTGGCCTACCTGCCACATGCACATGGGGTGCCATGGGTGAAGCTTTTCCTGTCCCTAATCTCAAATTTTATGGTCGAAACTGGAAATGCGGTACTCATTGAACGGATGCGACTTCCACATTTGATTGATAAATCTGGACAGGAACGTAATCTTACCGTATGTGTTGAGACAGTGGTGCTGCTAATAAAATGTTATTGTCACAGAAAGTGCTACTCGACTAGTACCTGCAATGTTGTCAATTGTCATTAAAATGCCCGCGCGTCCCTTTTAGATCAAGTGCTTTTGTGTTAGGATGCTATTTTAGATAAGTTTGCCCTGCATTTGAGCCTACGTCATTATTGAGGGAAGGGTTGCAGATGAATCTCAATTTGAATAGAATTAAAAATAAGCCGTGACGAGTTAGGTGAACATAGCGCCGTTCAAATTGGGAAATTGATTCTGCCTGGGTTTAATTCCTGGACTTACGATAAAAATGTACCGACTTATTCGCACGTTTTATATAGATTGAGAGAACACTGTATGACTGATTAGCGTAGTGATTGTCACCCTACCATCATCCAGATTCAATAACTACCTATTCTAACAGTAATGGTCGTGGACCGTGGTACCTCCCATCGCCCGAGATGCGACTTAAGTTGAAATCTGCCACGACGTCCACATTGTCACTGTGCTCTGTATGCACGTGCGCGATGCCTAATTTGCGCCAGAACCCGTGCCCACGCCGATAAAAGTAGCACCTCTAAACTCACCCCACGATCTCTGGCGCATTTTACGAACCCACCTGAGGCGGCGGGCGGGTGCGAAGTGGCACTGAGCTACCGCTGCCACTTTCCCGGCTGTCCATCTCCCGGGACGGTGGACGACCCCGATGGAGCACCCCTGAGGACCGGTGACAGGGTCACTACTCACCTGATACTCTCGCTCGGCCGGTCACCGGGATTGCTGCTGCTGCATACTGCATGCGGCAAGGACGTGCTGTGAAGAGGGCAGCAAATTGCTTATGGCAAGGTAGGTATTGCTGGGGATAGTCAGTCGAGCGGAGGAGATTACAAACGTTTTGGGGCACCGATGGGTAGATTATTGACATAGATGATCCTCTATGGCTCCAAATGGAACACAAATATATTTTTCCAAGCGGGTTTTACTGAAAACCGAGCGACGAAGGAGCGAGTTTTTTTCTGGAAAATGCGAGGAAAATATATCCGATATTCCACGAGTGAGCCATAGAGAATCCAATATCTTTTCTGTGTATTTTCATTATGGTCTTATTCATAATTAATTAAAATACTTTGTTCAAATGTATTCATGGATGAAATAGTTTCAATTTAGTAATAAAATTGTTTTTAATCAATTAGTTACATCACAACAGCGACCAAAATGGTCGATTATTGACGCTCTATAATTTTTACGCTTGGTTTTCGGTTATGAACCCACAAGACATTATCTTTCCATCTCAGATGAATGCAAAGATGACAAGTTCCTATCATTTCATCTCAGAAGAGTGCAAGATAAGAATAACCTTGCACTGTAGACCCAGTGGCAAATAAACCTCCACTTGAAAGATATGAGCATTGACAAAATGGACAATCAGCAGGAGAAGGGCTGCACTAAGTGGTAGCAGATGTAGGTACAGCGACAAACTGATTGCTGAAGTAGGTATGTCAATCAGACACCATTACCAGTTGAAGACACACCAGTTACAGACGTTACAGTAACCAGTTAATACAGACACAGGTTTGTTGTGTTCGGGTATAGGGGGTGTAGACTTGGACCGCCTCTGCGGCCCCACCTCTGTGTGCCTGGGAGCGCCCCTGCCGGCGCTCAGCTGTCCGTGCGCGCCAAGCGGCGTGAGTGGCGCACGGGACGAAAACTGACGCTCGCCATACTTGTTTACTTTTTCGGGTATCTTTTCGGCCTAACGTCTCGCAGTCAATAAATCGCATTTTTCCGTTTCTACATTTCCATTTCGAACCGATCAACAACAACTTAACATGGCGCGGTCGGTAACTGGTTATGTATGCGGATTTTAAAGTGCAGTGAACAGTGGTAGGTGCGTGATGAGTGACATTGATAAACTGACCCAGCTGCTCCTGCAGCAGGCGCAGCTGTCGGCGCAGCGTGAGGAGCGCCTCGGTCAGCTCGTGGAGCGGCTGGTCGCCGATCGACAGCCGCCCGCTGTCGTCGCCGGGGATGAGGTACCCCCCGCGACCCGGCCGCCGGCGGCCGCCCCGTCCGTGCGGCTGCCGGCTGCTGCGACACCGGCGCCGCATCTGTCGTCATCTACGTCGCTGCGTGACTTCGCCGTTTGGAGGGAAAAGCTGGACGGATATATGCTTCTCACTGGCGCGTCAGCACTACCTGTTACTGCACAGCGAGCCGCTCTCCTAAGCCTCCTGGACGAGGACTGGCACCGGGTGCTGCGTTACGGCCTCAGCGTCACGGACGACTCTCCCCTCTCCGAGGTGGTGGACGCGATGGAGAGCCACCTCCGAAAACAACGCAGTGTCCTGGTGGACCGTCGGGCCTTCTACGCCCGTGTGCAAGAGGAGGGCGAAAACTTTGAGGAGTTTTTGTGTGGTGCAAAGGAGCTCGCCGCGTTTTGTGACTTTTGCACGCACTGTTACGATTCACGGTTGCGTGATAAGATCGTGTGCGGCCTGCGAGATGAAGAAACCGTAAAACGGCTGCTGGAGGATCCGGAACTCGACCTGAAGAAGGCCGTAGATATCTGTCGTGCGTCGGAAAACGCCCGCGCTACCTGCTCTGATCTCCGCGCGCCGAACGCATCGCTGAACCGGCTGTCAGCGTACCGCCGGTCAAAGTCGCGTGATGCGCGCCCCGCGGCCCAACCCGGCGGGCGTTCCGCGGGTGCAGCTGGCGTGCGCCGCCCCCTGGCGCGCGATGCGCGCCCCGCGGCCCAACCTGGCGGGCGCTCCGCGGGCGCGGCCGGCGCGCGCTGCTGCCGCTGCGGGCGGGCCGCCCACGCAGACCCGGCGGCGTGCCGCGCCACTAGCGCCACCTGTAACTCGTGCGGCCAGCGCGGCCACTTTGCAGTGGTATGTGTCCAGGTGGCGCGCGAGAGCACCGTTGCCCCCGTCGAGCACGCAGCACCAGAGCCGCACATCGGCCGTCTAATACGAGACGTCTATGTAAACGGCGTCTCTACACGGCCGACACCTCCCGTGTCTGTTCGACTGTCTACCGCAGCTGGTGTGTTCACCATGGCGGCCCGGGCCGACTCCGGTGCCGAGGCGACAGTCATCGGAGAAGACAGCCTGTCTTCTATCTGCGTGGAACCAGCGCAGTTGGAGCCCTGTATCGGCCAGCCCTTCTCAGCAGTGGGGAGACACCCGCTCACCTGTATCGGGTCGTTCCAGGCTGCTCTGGAGCTGGGCGACCGATCGACCACCGCCGCCGTGTTCGTCATCAAGGAGATGACTGGCCTGCTACTCAGCTGGTTCGACTGTGTGGCGCTGGGGATTCTGCCGAGGGATTTTCCGGCACAGATCCGGTCTGTCGAGGACGCACCGCGCCCCACTGATGACACCACTCACTCTGGTGACGTCACACCCTCTGATGACGTCACACCGTCTGCACTGCCGGCCGTTGCCGGCTCTGCTCGATGCGCCAGCGACCGCCCTACCCCGTGTGAGACGCCGCGTGACAGGCTCTGTCCGGCCACCGGGGCCGAGACGGGCGGGCCGGCGCCGCCGGCCGATGGACCCAGCCCGGCCGCCGGCCTCGGCGGTCCGCTGCCGGCCTGGAACAGCGACTCAGACCCACCGGAGGCGGTCCGTGCCGCTCATGCCGCCGCTCTGGTGCAGTGTTTCCCGCGCGTGTTCGGGCAAGATTCGACTCTCCGAGTCATGGACGGCGGCCCGATGAAGATCGAACTCCGGCCCGACGCGAGTCCGACGTCGGTCACCGCCGCGAGACCGATTCCCTTCGCCTGGCGGGCGGAGGTGAAGGCGCAGCTGGACGACCTGCTGAACCGCGGCATCATCGTACCCGTGGACTACCCGACGGAATGGTGTCATCCCATTTCGTGCGTGCCGAAGAACCCGTCCGGGTTTCGACTCTGCGTGGACCTGACGGGACTCAATCGGTACGTGAATCGACCCACGTACCCCTGCCGGTCTCCTCACGATGCCGTGACGAGTCTGCCCGCCGGGCACCGATGGATGTCGACTCTGGACGCCAAGATGGGCTACTTCCAGGCGCCGCTCGCTGAGTCAAGTCAGGACCTCACCTGCTTCATCACGCCGTGGGGCAGGTTCAAGTTCGTCCGCTGTCCGATGGGATGTAGTGCGTCTGGAGACGAGTACAACCGGCGCGGCGATGCAGCGCTCGGCGACATCCCAAACTGTGTCAAAATTGTTGATGACATCCTGGTCGTGGCACAGACGTACCGGCAGCACCTGCAGCAGGTGATCGAAGTCCTCCGGCGCTGTGACGACCGAGGAATCACGCTGAACCCGCAGAAGTTCAAGTTCGCCCAGAATGAGGTCAAATTCTGCGGCTACAAGATCACACCGGCCGGCTACACCACCGACCATGAGAAGGCCCGCGCCATCGCTGATTTTCCGAGACCGGAAAACGTCACCGACCTGCGGTCCTTCATGGGTCTGGTGAATCAGCTGAGCGGCCTCACACCGGAGCTGGCAGGCTCGACTCAGGCCTTCAGAGACCTCCTCAAGTCGCGCCGGGTCTGGCGCTGGACTGAGCAGCACGAGGCAGCGTTTCTGCACACGAAGATTGTGCTGTCGTCACCGCCGGTGATGGCATTCTTCGACCCGCAGCTGCCGACCGTGCTACAGACTGACGCTGCTAAAACCCGAGGGCTGGGTTTTGCACTGCTCCAGAAGCACGGCGAGGACTGGCGTGTGGTCCAGTATGGCTCACGGTTCCTGACAGATACCGAGAGTCGGTATGCCGTCATCGAGGTGGAGCTGGCTGCTGTACTCTGGGCCTGCAAGAAGTGTCATGTCTACCTGGCTGGCATGCCGCACTTCGACCTGGTGGTCGACCACCGGCCGCTGGTGACCATCCTGAACTACAAACAGCTCAACTCGATCGACAACCCGCGTCTGCAAAGGATGAGAGAGAAGTTGTCGGCCTACAGCTTCACCACCAGCTGGCAGAAGGGTTCGAGTCACGTGATCCCAGACGCGCTCTCACGAGCGCCCACCAGTGACCCCGCCGCCGACGACGACGGAGAGGTGGACGCAGCGGACGACCCGCTACACGCCTGCGTCATTGCCGCGCTGCAGGCCTCCGATCGGTCGGAAGATGGCGTCCAGCTGGCCCCGCTGATCGACTCAGCACTCGAGAGAGTCCGCGCCGCCGCGGAGCGCGACCCCGAGCACCGGGCTCTCAGCGAGGTGATTCTCGCCGGATTCCCAGAGAACCGGCACGAGGCGCCCCCGGCAGTGCGAGCTTACTGGGGAGTGCGCCATCAGCTCGCCATCGACGACGGGCTGGTGGTATATGGCGCTCGGCTGGTCGTCCCGTCCGCCCTCCGGCGCGGTGTGCTGGAGAAGCTCCATGACTCACACCAGGGCGTCGACCGCACCAAGCGCCGTGCCCGGCTCAGTGTGTACTGGCCGGGCATAGACAAACAGATCGCTGACACCGTCGCCGCCTGCGCTCAGTGCCGTCAGCGCCTGCCCAGCCACGCCCGGGAGCCGATGTGGCAGGAGGACGGCGCACCGACGCGCGTCTTCGAATCAGTCTCGGCCGACTACTTCTCCGCTGGAGGACACACGTACCTGGTGTACGTGGACCGGCTGTCCGGGTGGCCGTATGTCACTGTGTGTCCCCGCACGGCCTCGGCGGACCACCTGACGCGGCAGCTCCGACTGATGTTCTCGCAGACGGGCGTCCCGACCGTGTTCCGGTCAGACGGCGGACCCCAGTTTGCATCGGGCACGCTCCGCCGGTTCCTCCAGCGCTGGGACGTACGACATGAGATGTCATCACCGCACTACCCGCGCTCTAACGGGCACGCGGAGGCCTGCGTGAAGACAGCAAAGAAGCTGGTGCTGGCTGCGTCTTCATCGGGCCAACTGGACCAGGACCAACTGGACCGAAGTCTGCTCGAACTCCGTAACACGCCCCGAGCAGACGGCCGGTCGCCGGCACAGGTCCTCTTTGGCCACCCTCTTCGGTCCGGTGTGCCCACGCACCACCGCGCCTTCGCCCCTGAGTGGCAGCGAGCAGCCGATGTCTGTGAGGAAAAGGCTGCCGAGCTCCAGGAGCAGGCGGTCAGGCGATACGACGAGAGCACCCGCCGGCTGTCACCGCTCAAGATCGGCAGCCGGGTCGACCTGCAAGACCCCACCACCGGCCGATGGAACCGGATCGGAGTGATCGTGGGCGTCGGTCAGAGGCGCACGTACCTCGTCAAGACGGCCAGTGGCAGGGTCCTGTGGCGGAACCGCCGCTACCTGCGCCCATATCGGCCCCTTCTGACGGAGCCCACCCTGCCGGTGGCTCCGTCCGCCCCGCGCGCGCCCCAGCCGCCGCCGCCGCCGCCGCCGCCGCCGCCGCCAGAGCGCACCGCTGTCGCCGCCGAGCGGGCAGTCCGACCCGCCGCTGGTGCGCCTTTTGTGTGCCGCTCGCCGCCGGTGCGGTCACCCGAGGTGGAGACCGCCGCCGCCGCTCTCCCGCGTCGTTCTCGACGGCAGCGCCGCGCTCCTGGCCGGCTCCGAGTTCAATGGGGTGCGACCTCGTATGAGGAGTGACTGTCAGACAACGTCGTGCAGTGTTGTGTTTTTGTGTGTTTTTGACGACTGTTGTCTCGAGGGGGGATGTTGTGTTCGGGTATAGGGGGTGTAGACTTGGACCGCCTCTGCGGCCCCACCTCTGTGTGCCTGGGAGCGCCCCTGCCGGCGCTCAGCTGTCCGTGCGCGCCAAGCGGCGTGAGTGGCGCACGGGACGAAAACTGACGCTCGCCATACTTGTTTACTTTTTCGGGTATCTTTTCGGCCTAACGTCTCGCAGTCAATAAATCGCATTTTTCCGTTTCTACATTTCCATTTCGAACCGATCAACAACAACTTAACAAGGTTTACTGAAATCAGTCCGATGATAATTTAGTATTTGATAGATTTCAATCCCAATTGTTCTTTATTGGTGTAATTAATTATCACTAATGTTTCTTTTACACGTTGTGAATTTGGTAAAAACTACAAACCTCACTAATTCTAACTAAAGCTAAAACTTTTTCTCTCCATTTCCGTAGTTAGTTCGGCGTTTCCCTATCTTGTCATGGTTTTTTGTTGGTAGCAGGGGCGGATCCAGGAAAACTCCAAGGGGAGGGTCATGAATCGAAGTGGTGCCCCTACCTATACCCAAAATTAAAAACTCAACGGATTTCGTCCACTTCATTTTGGTGGTGCCCCCATTTTCAGTTTTTTTTCTTTTTATTTTTTTTTTGTCAGTATCTTAACTCTTAGCCACAACCAGGGGCGTCGCCGACGGGGGGGTCGGGGGGGTCGCGACCCCCCCACTCGTCAGAACCAGGGGGGTCGACCCCCCCACTTTTGGCGATGCTGAATATGCTTTTTTTAGCTATCATGTCAGGGAAGTTGGCGTCAGCAACATCAACAAATACAACGTCAGATTCAGAATCGTTTCAAGAGCTCCCTAGTCCCTATTGCTTATAGGTCAATAAGCTGTGGGCATGACAATATGATTTCATCATGACAATATGATTTTAGTCCCTTTTTATCCCTCAAATGAGCGAGCGCGTCAAAACTGACCCAAGCGTTTGTCTGATTGTCAAAATAATGGTTGCAGTGGATTCGTCGGATGACCTATCAGTAACTACGAGGTAGGTACCTGGTTAGCCTCAGCCCTGCTACCCTCGGACCTGCCTGCATAGGGGAAATGGGGTCAGATGGTGGATCCCTCTGGGGCTTTCCTAATAAGACGCGCAAAAAGGAGTATATTGCAACGAACGAAACTTCCAGTGACCTCGAGTTAATGAATTTTACACCTATTCTAAAAAAAAATTGGCCCTGATTCGAATATGGATGACCTTGGTTAACTTTTTTGAGTTTTATTTGCTTCCACTTACAAGAGTGGTTTTTGGGGCTGATTTCTAGTTTAGCGCCCGTTTGAACCGTTGAAGTAGTTTTGATAAATGATGGTTATGTAACATGTTACGAAGCCATCGTTGGTGGTTGTCAGTCACCCACTCTAGATGGCCGGCGGGAAGCCTGCTGGTCGACCTAACCTGACCCGACCCGATCTACCCAAAATGCATGGAGTCATCATCTTTGTTCAAGACTAACATCGAACTCGTACTCGGGACCCCGATAACAGCTACGGCTCACTAAGTTCTAGCAGGTGGACAGATTTTTCTTCTTTTGGGTGTTGACCTAAGATGACCCGGCCAAGACCTTGAAATTGGGCATCATCGGCTTTCTCTCATCACGGGCAGCATTTTCGCTCTTCCGCGAAACTCTACCTCGATCAGGGGCCGAAAGCACGCCTTATGCGTTACGTTGGTAAACGTTTTACCTTAGCGACCCGCAAAATACGAATAAGAGCTACAGCAACACAGAAAGCGTATTCGATAGCTTTTTAAAGCTCTTTCGCCAACTTCGCCTCAGATATGTCTTCGGGTCTACGGCTTGTGTACCATAGAGTCCAAACAGCTAAACGGACGGATTTTGCCGAAACATTTGTTCTGTAACAATTCCTATGATTCAGTGAATGTGTATGATATTCATGTTATCACCATCGTTTTTGTTTCGTCGAAACACGTCGCATGGCTTACAATTTGAACTTAAAAACTTGAATAGAAAACTTGACATCAGGTAAAGGTCATGACCTGACCGGAAAAGAACCTGCTGCATATGGATCGATCTGTGTTACTGAGCTGAACACACTCCAGGTGCTGTCATCGCTCTACAACGTCTCCATCAAATGTTGTTGTCGAAAATGTGTTAGAGACCTTTGATGACCTAATGACTGACCATTTCAGTCACCACTGGTCATTAGCTGCACCTTATCTCTAAAATGAACAAGGTGCCATGGCTACAAAAGTATCTAGCGTTTTTAGCATATTCTTTCAAAGCAGAGGGCATCGTGCTTTTCCCATATCTTATCATGATTGGTGAGGTCACACACCTATTTGACCTGACTTCGCTTCTCAGATGTAAAATCCCAGATTCATGAACTGTTGGCACTTATAATCCCATTCATTACACCAAATTTCAGACTTCTAGGAGTCAGGAGATAATCTATAGGGATGACAAGATTGCAGTTTTAAGAGGCATTAAAACTGAACTTGACATGACATTGTGACCTGACCTCAGGCGACCTCTGCTTGATTTTTATGCACGATGCAAAATTGATGCACAATAAGATATACCGCTGCTTTCGCGGCGCTGCGCGCCGAGGTTTTTCTCCGGGCACACGAAAAAAAAACCGGGAGTGTGGCTAAAAACAGCCCTACCCATCAAGACGAAGACCGGAAACCCGACCCCCCCACTCAAAAATCCGTGGCGACGCCCCTGGCCACAACCACATTTACCAATTGTAAGCAAGTATATATGAATGTGCTATGTGTATATATGTTGTGGACGCTGAGTAATGAGTACTTACCAGGAACGTTATCAGGTAAGCAAATCGTTGTCAGTCCGACGAACTTGACCCTGGCGTCTAAAGGGTCTGTCCTTGACACTTCAGGCTTGTCAGGGGCACCAAAGTCCTTCCAGGGACACCACAAACCTGCCAGGGGCACTTACGGTCTTGTAGGGGCGCCACAGGCCCGCCAGGGGCACCACAGGCCTGCCAGGAAGCAGGGGCACCGCAGGTCTAGCAAGTATACACGACAGGCCTGTCTGGGGCACAACGGGCCTGTTAAGCCCATGAGCACCCCTAGGGGCAGGGGCACCACAGTCCTTCCAGGGGCACCGCAGGCCTGTGAGGGGCACCAGCGGCCTAGCAGGGGCACCAGTCAACACAGGCCTGCCAGGGGCACCACAGACCTGCCAGGGGCACCAGAGGTCTGCCAGGAGCGCCACCGACCTCGCAGGGGTAACTTGGGCCTGTCAAGGCCCAGGGGCACCACGGGCCTGTCGAGAGGCACTTCAGGCTTTTCAGGGGCACCATAGTCCTCTCCGGGCGCAGGGGTAGCAGGGGCACCAGAGGCCTGCCAGGGGCACTGCAGGCCTAGCAAGGGCACCACTGGTCTATCAGGGGCACCACGAGCCTGTCATAGCCAGGCATCTCAGGCTTATCAAGGCCCAGGGGCACCACAGGTCTGTGAGGGGCACCAGCGACCTAGCAGGGGCACCAGTCAACACAGGTCTGCCAGGGGCGCCACAGACCTGCCAGGGGCACCACAGACCTGCCAGGGGCACCAGAGGTCTGCTAGGGGCACCAACAGCCTCGCAGGGGCACCTTGGGCCTGTCAGGGGCACCACGGGCCTGCCGAGGGGCACTTCAGACTTTTCAGGGGCACCAGTCCTCTCCGGGCGTAGGGGTACCAGCGGCCTAGCAAGGGCACCAGAGGTCTGCCAGGGGCACCAGCGGCCTAGCAAGGGCACCAGAGGCCTGCCAGGGGCACCACAGGCCTAACAAGGGCACCACGGGCCTGTCAGGGGCACCTCAGGCTTGTCAGGGCCCAGGGACACCACAGTCCTTCCAAGGGCACCGCAAGCCTGTCAGGGGCACCAGAGGCCTGCCAGGGGCACCACAGGCCTAGCAAGGGCACCACTGGCCTGTCAGGGGCACCTCAGGCTTGTCAGGGCCCAGGGGCACCACAGTCCTTCCAGGGGCACAAGCCTGTCAGGGGCACCAGAGGCCTAGCAAGGGCACCACAGGCCTGCCATGGACACCACAGGCCTGCCAGGGGCACCACCGGCCTTGCAGGGGCGCCTCAGGCCTGTCAGGGGCACCACGTGCCTGCCGGGGACACTTCAGGCTTGTCAGGGGCGTTACAGTCCTGTCAGGGCCCAGGGGCACCAGGCCCGTGGTGTCCCTGCTAGGCCTGTGGTGCCCCTGGCGGTCCTGTGGTGCCCCTGTCAGGACTGTGATACCCCTGATAGGCCGGTGGTGCCCCTGGCAGGTCTTTGGGCCCCCGGGCCTCAAGGGGGGGGGCCATGACCCATGTGACCCCCCCCCTTGGATCCGCCCCTGGTTGGTAGGCATTTGGTTTTGTATAGTTTTCAAAAATATCTGTAGTTGACAGCTCCTTACTTTATGGTAAGGTGTGTTCAGTCAACCATAAAAAATGTTTGACATTCACTGAAAGTTTGTGCAGCGCTGGGCCGGCTGAGGTGAGATCTTCGAGTCTGCCAATCACGATCGCGGCGGCATATTTAGTGCTTTAGACAGGCTGAAGAAGGAAGAAGAATGTCTTTCGAAAGCTGCTACGTAAAACCAGTATAACGCCTTTTGGGGCGACTAACGGAGCGAGCGAGAGGGTGAGCCTTGCACGTGCGAAATTTCGACGGGGTACCTCCAGCTGACTTGTGCACGGCACCCTACTAACCGGTCTCTCGATGTGCCAAATTTGAGCACAATCGGCCCAGCCGTTCTCGAGATCTGGATGCGGCACCCTGCACGTGCGCACGTGCAAAATGGGTCCCAACTGACTTTTGCACGGCACCCTACTAACTGGTCCCTAACCATGTGCCAAATTTGAGCGCCATCGGTCCAGTCGTTCTCGAGATCTGAAATCGACCCCTGCACGTGCGCACGTGCAGCAGCACCCCAACT